TATTTGTATGGATGATTTTCATCAATATACATTGTATTTATACGAGGGTTAAATTCTGCATGACTGGAGTTCAGGTAATGTGCCTTAAGCCAACCTTTCATTTCAGAGTCAAATCGACGTATTTTTACAGGAATATCTGGGGAAGTCGTTGTTGATGAATACGGTGATTGTGATCCTAACTACAGCCTGCAAGTCTTTAAACGCACGTATTTCGACAACATCGCTGACTATCATGTATTCAATGATACATACCACCCACACGATGATGGAGAGTTTGTTTGGTTGGGGAACAGAACAGAACCACCAAAGGACTATCCACCATGTGGTTGGAATGGAGAGTATTGTCCGGACAATACCAGTAAGTTACGAATGATATCTATTTCAATTTAAGTAATTCAAACGTTGGCAAATATGTGTCTGCACATATACTGAAATATGATTATTGTCAATGATCTTAAAATGCACATGACTAACTTCTTGTACTATTGTAAATGTCAACAAGTCTACAAATTTCGAGAAGCGCCTTGCATGATTGTTATTCTTGTACATAGTTATTTTTTGTTCAATAACACAGATAATAGATCAACTCATATGGTGTTTATGCCACCTTATATTTAACATGAAGTTCAAGATCTTCATATTTATTTGGTAGAAAGGGGATTAAAAATTGCTAATACGAGACATTTTCACACACGAGTTATACATGAATTAGTTTACCTATAACATCTATAATTTTGGAACCATTGCTTTGCAACATATGTTGAGTTGGGGAATACAACATGTTATTGTTTTATTTTATTTCTTTTTTGTATTTAATCCAACTAACTTCAATTGTAAGATGAATTACAGTGATCGCAACCTAGATACAGCAAACATCCTGAATTATTGTGTTGGTTGCTTGTGTTGCTATCTCTTTTTTATGGTGATACTAAGGTCGCAGGGCATTTCCATCCAGTAATGAATAAACATTCTTCGTTTACTTCATAGTGACAGTAATTATTGCTGTGGTTAGTGCATTGTGTGGCGTTGTAATCCTCGGAGGAGCTGGAATCCTAATCGTGTACAGGTAAATACAGACGTGCTAAGCACTACATTTTTACCGGTGTTTGACTGTACGACCGTATATAATGACGAAATTATTTATTTATAATGTTTATTTATTACCTATGATTATTGTTGGTTTTAGAAGATTAAAATTAGCTGCCGAGCTAGCAACCTTTGCTCTATGGAAAGTGAATTATTGTGATATTGTATTTTCTAATATTTGCACTTCAATGAGAAGAAGCTGTCGGGTAAGTACAAAACCATTCGCAATCTAACTATATGAAACCCACTGAAAGATATCCTCGAGCGTACGACTTGTCCGAGCTTTATACATCTAGCGAGCTATATAGATTGCTAGAAATTGCTAGTGTTTTCGCAGCATTAACTGATAGTATTGGCTTTAGAATATTGCATTCCTCGTATTGTATTGTCAATGATTGAAATAATGGTTTAGTATTGCTTTTGTGAATTTATCACATGCGTCACAATATTCATTTATTTACGGGTACCTCAAAAGGGTATCTGCGAGTGAGGTATGCAGGCACGCAGAAGTCATAACACTGATGTCTGCGTGTTGATCTGCGTGTAGGTTCTGCGGGCACGCAGATGCAGTTTTGATCAAATCTGCATGTGCTAACGATTCTTTTGTTTGGTCGCACGCGATGACGCGTGTTGAGTGTATAAATCGGCAACACTGAGTTAAACGAAACAGATTTTCTTCCAATATTCAATACTAAATATATGACTTACTAGTTAACACTAATTTTATTATTATGATCGTGCTATAATGGCGTCTTGTGTCAGGACGTTTTGTGTCTTGTTATTCCGCATCTTGATACCGTATCCGTTTATACTTCACTTGCATGCTGAATTGAAAAAAAAAACATGACTATAAATTGCGCCCTCTATCGGTGACACGCTTCTATGACGTAATGGCTGATACGGAGGTCGCTCAAAACTTCGATATTGTTTTGATATATAGTCGTTTATCAGAGGCGACTAAGATTTTAAAACAATTTTCTATTTTCGAGATGAAGTCTAAACACAGTTTTCAATTTGATCGATTTCACCATATTCGTCATTTTGACGTCACAGAAGAGATTCCTCGCTAGAGGGCGCACTTATATAAATGATGTATTGATACGTGTTCCCTGCATTGATACCGCGATGTACAAGACAAAACAGGTCAATACACACTATCTAGCAATTGCAGATCGATAGACCGAACATATATGGCCAACATACATTAGACTATTGTTGTAATCCGTAGCGACAATTTGTCATACGCAACGCACCTTGTTTTGCAGTTAACGTGTTCTAAGCAGACACTGTTCTAAATCTACTATGTCGAAACAGGACAATACGAGCGACACCACGACTCAAGTGTTCACTTTGCAGGGACGTATCAGGTAATTCAGTACTTCATGTGCGTTTTCTGCTTCTGCATCTTTTAATTATA